TACTATCTAATCAAAAACACACTAATCAACAACATTTATCTATACTGTACTGTCTCTACGCGCTTCCATTCCCTGTAAATACTATCTAATCAAAAACACACTAATCAACAACATTTATCTATACTGTACTGTCTCTACGCGCTTCCATTCCCTGTAAATACTATCTAATCAAAAACACACTAATCAACAACATTTATCTATACTGTACTGTCTCTACGCACTTCCATTCCCTGTAAATACTATCTAATCAAAAACACCTACAGCAAATAATCATTCATTAGTTAGCCAGACCGCATTTTTTGTTCAACTTCGGGCATGATGGTGGGTAAAACAAAATACGTGGCCTAGGTAACTAATGAATAAATATTTGCTGTAAAATGTTTATCAATGCTATAAGTGTAGCTACCAGTTTGGCCACCAATTTTGATTTCATTTCTTTAAGTCACACGCTCGATCCATTTATGGCCGCACCTCTTTTTCACCCTTAAGGTGTTTTTGATAAGATATGATTTTTTGCCAATACACTCCAACAAGTGATCTCAAAAACAAACTCACTGAGACAGAACTGACATTAGAAACAGTAAATAGACTCCTCGGGTAACTCGGCTTTTAGCACTCTGAAGGTTAATTTTAATTTGTTGTCAAGGTGATTCAAACACGCAAAGTAACAGCTGCGATGGCTGGGGCCCACAAGAACGTTACTCGTGATGTCAGCGTGTATAGTGCCATTTATTTAAGACGCGTCGCAAAACCTGTTCTTCGCTGCTTTAGAAGATGCACAAAAAGATATACAGCTAAAGTTCAGCGTTGTTTGACAGTACGGCTGAACCTATTTGTCAGAATAGTGTGATTAGGTCGTTTATCTCCTAAAAATGTCATTTTTATATCTTACAAACATTTTTATACCCAAAAGAAAAACATTTGTGCTTTAAAGCATTTTCTGAATATTGAGTGATTTTATTTCACATAAACATGACCAGTGTAATATTATGTGGCTTGTGGTTTAATCCTTGTCTTGATATTTTGTTACAATAAGTTTAGCTTAGATGTTGGACCAGAAAACTATGGTGATTTTGAATATTCGAATTATTATTTATATCAAATAAATGTTTTTTTTTTATTTGTCCCTACATTATTCGTTTTGATATTTCCTGCCACCCAATAAAATATACAGGGGACTGTATAAAAAGAAAATGAAACGTGTCTAAGAATGTTTAATTTGGCATTGGGCCATCATGAATTTTTTTTAGGACAAACTGATTAGGTATGGCGAAAATTAGCATGACAGTATTAAACGGTTTTAACCATGATAGCTTGATTAAGTACACACTTTTTTTCAAAAGAACCGTCTTCAACCTTTCTAGGTTTTCGCTTCATTACCGTATTCCATCCTTAGAAATTGACGAGACTGCATTATCTTAGTTACTCAAAACAACTACTGGGTAAGTGAGTCAGATTCGATCCCCCCCTTCCCCCATCCTAATTTTCGCTTAGGATTCAACGCTTCCTAGAAATGAGATTGTATCTTTAGTATGTTCATTAATCAGTAAAGGCTCATTTACATATAGTTTCTTTTTTACGTATGCATTTTTACATCCCTTGAATATTATTATGGCTTTCCAAAGTGGTAATGACAGTCTGTTATTATGCTTTTAATACTCATAACGTGGGTAAATATTTCTCTGCAGTAAATAGTTTCCTTAAGCCTAGCTTTAAAGTAGAGAAGAGTCCGTGTATATGTTTTACAGTTAGCTCTTACGTTAACTCTTTTGCTGCTTAGTTCGGATATATCCGAATAAAAATTTTATACCCACTGACTGCGCAATTCCGATTTACCCCTTGCCTACCAAAAAAAAGGTTTCCCTCTACCGCGACATGTGGGAATATTCTATACTTTAAACAATCGTCAAACCTGTGTGCGTGCTGCCATCTGTGTTCTTCTCCGTAAAATCTGGATGTTTATATGCCTCATTACAAAATTGCCAACTTTGCAGGAACACATATAGAATCTATATGAAGACAGCTTCTTTATATCTTAGATATTGTTATCTATATAATTTGTTTTATATTTTGTAATGATTTTGGTGTCTTATTAACCTAGTTTTGCCTATATTTATGCCATTTACTGGAGAACATTTTTCTTCTAATTTTCCTCAATTTTTTATTTAAATCATTATTTTTCGTATCCTATACAGTTTTCAAGGAACATTATTGTCAGATATAGAAAATACAATTCCTTTCAATATTGAAAAAGTAATACAAAGGGTCAAATTCACACTTTGATTTTTTGGTGGAAAATTAACACTTTTTAGGAATCAGCCTGAAAATGAATTGCACAGTGAAAGGGTTAAGCACGTGATGCTTAACAAGCAGTGGCTAATGACTGAAAAAAACTGACGAAAATAAATTTACTTTCGTAACTGGACAGAACATCACAATGAGCTTGCTAAAAATAATGTGCAGAAAAGTGAACAGTCCCTATGGGTTTCGTTACAAGTCATATTGATTGTTTTACAGCATAGTCGTGTGAATTGTTTATATACGGTCATACAGTTGTATTGGCGTGTCACATTTCAGTTTCGGCTAAATTCATTATGTTAATTACTTACACGCTTGTTATTGTTAAACTAAGTTCTGTCAATGCTGACTTTGTTCATGCATTACGTGTGTAGCTTAGTAAAAATAAAATAAAAATAAGAATATTTTCTGAAATATAATAATTCATAAAGTATTTTCAGTGGGCAGTTTTCTAGTGCATGCGATATTCTGACCTACTAGCTGGAACCTGAAAAGATATGTGTTAGTGGTTCGAGATGTTTCTTATCTTTTCTTCAACAGGCTGTCTATTGGAAACGTAAAAAGTATAGCTTTAAAATTCAGTTAATAGTGTGTCAAAAGTATATCAAAACCTTATGATATTCTAATTTGTGCATTTTTTTAACAGGTCACTGTGATTGTGCGAGACTATAAACCTTGTACTCAGGAGAAGACTTTTGAATCTCAGACAAACAATTTACCTGGTGTGTTTAATGATGGCTCTAAAGGTAAGCCTGAAGTTGAACCTCTCTTCATCTGGGAGGTAGATCCAGGCAGCCACGTGGAAATTTATATCCGTTACATCGCCACGCGGATCGTGATTCGACAAGTTGGAAGTTATCTAACCTTTGCTATCAAAATGCCAGAAGAGGTTGCAATTCTCGGTGCCAGTTCAGAGAACTTACAGCTTTGTGTTAAGGGTTGTCCGCGTCGAGAACGCATAGATCATAAACAGTTTCTGGCCAACCCCAACCATTGGATCAGCAAAGTTACCCACAACTCTCAGCCTGCTGTCCCCGTGCAACAGGCTGTTGAGCTGTGCAGGCAACGTAATGTTGTCAACTTCTATTTTGATGCGTGTGTGTTTGACTTTTTGACAACAGGAGATAGTAGTTTTACTAAAGCAGCAGAAAGAGCTTTGGAAGATGCCCCATCTATTGACAGTGAAAAGAACAGGACTTATTTACTAATTGACAAGGAAAATAGCGCGCTCGGTCGTTCTTTGAACTTTTTATTAATACTAATGTTGTTATTTTTATTAATCAGTCGCATATCTACCTAGTTGAGGTCTATCATTAAAATGGCAAAACTGGGATTAGTTTGTACAGTGTAAGAACATGTGTACATGTAGTAACAATTGTGTACAATATAATATAAAGTCTACAGTATACACTTACAAACAAAGACTAAAAACAAGAAAATTAAATTTAGTCCTTTCCCGTAAGAAACAAAATATATCTAAAACATGAAAATAGCTGTGTACCACATATGCCTGTTGTTGGTCTATTGTTCTACCTTATTGATACCACGTCTAGCAAGGTTAATACATCCTATGTACCACATATGCCTGTTGTTCTACCTAATTGATACCACGTCTAGCAAGGTTAATACATCATATGTACCACAGATGCCTGTTGTTCTACCTTATTGATACCACGTCTAGCAAGGTTAATACATCTTATACCAGAGGTTTCTTTATGGTAAATAAATCCTTTGAAGGCCATAATTGTATAATCAAGCAGTATTTGGAATATGTAGTGTTATTTACCGATTCGTGGTAGACTGTAACATATTCACATTGTATCAGGTTAATTAACGCAACTAAACTTTTATGTTTTTTCTCATTTGTATCTGAAACTCCACTTTTTACCGTAGGCCATATGAAAACTATTAACACATTACTGTAATCTTGAATTGTTGAATTAAAGTAAATTGAATTACTTTTCTTTTGTCAGTTTTTGTTTTCTATTTTTAACCATTCCTCTTTTTCTAATCAATGTTAAGTTGCAAGTATTGAAATTGGTACTCTTAAGCCTTATATTGGTTCATGTTTCTAATATGGAATAGAAAACTCGCATTATCAATAATAATAATATTACTTTTGTTTCTGGTGTTAAAAACATTTTTACTATCAGTATCTCAATTTTAACTTTTAAAAATTAAACCAGTTATTTAAAAAGAACTTGCTAAAAAGAAATGATAAGATTTTGAGCAATATTTTCACAATACTAAGTTTGAAGTCATTCGAGAGATTGGAATTAACGCAGTTTGTTAACTTCAATACACCTGAAAGTAAACAAATATTGTGTACTGCTAATTTCACGTAAAGCACTTTTTCATTTTGACTAAATTAACAAATATGAGATTGTCACATAAATGGAAAAATTCGTTCCGTAATAAAATAGAGTTATTTTAAAGTTGTTTTTTTTTAATCTGGGTAAGGTAACTTACGTAAGGTTCATTGTTAACTACCTTCCTAGTCTCAATACCAGTTATCGTGGTTATCTGTGCAAAAATGCTACTCTAGTATCAGTAAACCCTACTGTGCGAAAAAGCTACATTAGCCTCAGTACTCCTACTATGGTTATCTGTCTAAAACAGCTGATACTAGTCTAGGTACAACCTACCATGATTATCTGTGTAGACAAGCTGACACTAGTCTCAATACTACCCATTCTGGTTATCTGTGTAGACAAGCTGGGACTAGTCTCAATACTACCCATTCTGGTTACCTGTGTAGACAAGCTGGCACTAGTCTCAATACTACCCATTCTGGTTATCTGTGTAGACAAGCTGGCACTAGTCTCAATACTACCCATTCTGGTTATCTGTGTAGACAAGCTGGCACTAGTCTCAATACTACCCATTCTGGTTATCTGTGTAGACAAGCTGGCACTAGTCTCAATACTACCCATTCTGGTTATCTGTGTAGACAAGCTGACACTAGTCTCAATACTACCCATTCTGGTTATCTGTGTAAACAAGCTGACACTAGTCTCAATACTACCCATTCTGGTTATCTGTGTAAACAAGCTGACACTAGTCTCAATACTACCCATTCTGGTTATCTGTGTAAACAAGCTGACACTAGTCTCAATACTACCCATTCTGGTTATCTGTGTAA